TGCACATTCCAGACTATTGTTACTTAACACATCCCCCAAGATGTCTGAAAGGAATTCCCCATTCCTGCGAGACAAGGACCAACACAAAGCAGGGGGGCGGTTCTCTCCGTCTCATACTTTGCTGCATATGTTTGTGAGTGATAATGATAAAGCAAACTAGGCAGCATACCGCTGCAACAGAGGGCCTACACGCCCGTGAACAAACTCCGCATGGATGAGAAGTCAAGCACATTGACAAGAATTGTTTTGCTGTCTTGTCCAAAACCTACATCCACCCCACCTGGACTGTTGTATCCACTGTACGGAAATCAAGAAATACACTGTTATGTTGACAAGGTTCAACGAAGATTCCGAGATCAAAACCCGGTATCGACAGAACTGCTGAACCCAACCTCTTCACGGTCTAGAAACGAAAGAAATTAAGATGGTACCTGATTAGAGGTGTTTAAAATCCTGAATGACATGGAAGGTATCGAAGAATGCAACTTGTTAACCCTAATCAGATAAGAGGTTAAATAACAATTCAAGGTGGCCTTTAAGAAGAGTTTGAAGTACAGGAAGAACTTTTCCGTTATCAGAGCGAGTCGTCAAAGTGGAACAGTCTACCATCCCAGGCAAAATCAATCAACCTGTTAAAAAATCAGTTTGATTTAGGGTAGAAAAGGATATGAGGTCTTTAAGGCTTCAACCGATCTACTAAACTCGCATTACACCTTCGGTGGGCATATAAGTGTCAGGGGTTTCGATTCCTTAGGTTACATAGTCTCCAGACGTTCTTCCTCCGCTGGAACGTAATGAACTCTGGAGGAAATCCGCCTGCTCATGATGCAGACTGAAGTAAACGGTAGCTTATGAAATAGTTTGCTTTTTTTCTCTTTATTAGAAAAAAACACAAGTTCAAGTATGCATTGTTCGTTCATAAGCTAATGAGGCTGTATTCATGTGTCGATCTGCCATCTTGAATCGAAATTAAGTGAGATAAAACTTTTTATTTTGGTAGCCTGAGAGTAAGAATAACAGTGACGACATAAAATTTTAAGTCAGTTTTTATTTAGAATAATTTATTTTGTGAAGCAGTATTTTGAAAAAAAAATGAGATAAAGGCTTGAAGCCAAATTACTATGGCAATTCCCCCCTTAATAGATTTCATTGAATATGATCGTTTGGGGAACAAGTTCACCAAATGGCTTCACCATGAGTAAAGGCTATTGAGCAGTCGGTAATATGAAATTAACTGCCAAAATTGTGATCAGAAACACGGCGAGAAAACAAATTGTAGCACCCCGATAAAGGGCCAATGCACGGAGTACGCACGTTTTGTGAATCGTTCGCTCTCGGCTTGACATCCATAAAAATGCAAACAATGCCAATGGCCTAACCAGTACGCTTACACATTTAAAATTCAACCCAAAGGGCAGGTCACTCGCGTTTAGATGCGAGTTATAGCTACCGCACCCTATAATTGTTAAATTATCTAGACGGGGACCAGTTAACCCTCAAGAAAACTTACTCCTCCTGCTCTGCATACGTAGGGCGCTGATTACAAGTTGCAAAATATTCATTTGAATTGGGTTATTATCAGTGGTATTATTAATTTGTAAAACAGAAATTCAGTTAGATTTTTAGAACGACGAATAATGCTGGTTTTATTTTCGCCGTAGCTAGCATTCGATTTCATTTTCAAATAAACGAATGCGCCTATATAATTCCTACTTTCAGTTAAAGGGTTACAAATACGCAATTAGACTTTCGGTTTGACATGTGCTGTCTGATATCCAGAGCTATACAAATTATGATACAACTTTAATTTAATAGTTAATTAGTCAATGTATTGTAGGTCTAATTTATCACTAATGTGTTAGTTGTCATATGTGCTGTGACACTCTACGGTCAGTAATCTTAGCTTGTGTCATTTCTTTTCATTTCCCTTCAAACATGTACAGACAGTCTAACCTGATCAGGAATTCGAGACGTTCGAAAATTTTTTTGTAAATTATCAGTTTACTTGCCCTTTGGCAATACCGACACTGATTTAAAAATAAAGAAATAGGTGGCCACTCTGTACCCCACCACGTTAAGCTATTTAATAATTTCAGCGTTCATAATAACATATTTAAATAAATATATTACCAGATTGAAGTATTACATAACATGTGATTTTCACCCGTATATCTTGTTGCACGCAGAGGTTCTACTTCGTTTTTATTAGAATCGTCATCGTTTTAATGCAATCCTGTGGATTCATGTAGATGGTTTGTTCACGTGGGAAGTCAAGTTTTTCAAGTAATTTTAATATCTGTGACGATTCCACTCAAAGACCAAGCAAAGTGAGCATCCACCACGAGAACAAGCGACCATGGTTCAAAATGGCCAGGCACAATGTTGATAAGCTAGATATTGTGGTGGTACACACGCTTGCCCATTATTATAACACAAAAGGTCTACAGGAAGCGCATTTGCCTTACCTTTTACGACTGGTGACTCACGTTTAACCTCGTCCCTACCGTGTTTGACACAGCATACCCGGCCATCCCAATGTCAAGGAACAGAGGAGTTGCTACTTAGCACTTGTAGAAACGTAGGCAAAAAAAAACTGGACTGGTTGGAAGCNTAATGCATTGTTCGTTCATAAGCTAATGAGGCTGTATTCATGTGTCGATCTGCCATTTTGAATCGAAATTAAGTGAGATAAAACTTTTCATTTTGGTAGCCTGAGAGTAAGAATAACAGTGACGAAATAAAATTTCAAGTCAGTTTTTACTTAGAATAATTTATTTTGTGAAGCAGTATTTTAAAAAATGAGATAGAGGCTTGAAGCCAAATTACTATGGCAATTCCCCCACTTAATAGATTTCATTGAATATGATCGTTTGGAGAACAAGTTCATAAAATGGCTTAACCATGAGTAAAGGCTATTGAGCAGTCGGTAATATGAAAATAATTGCCAAAAGCGTGATCAGAAACGCGGCGAGAAAACAAATTGTAGCACCACGTTAAAGGGCCAAAGCATGGAGTACGTACGGTTTGTGAATGGTTCGCTCTCGGCTTGACATGAAAATGTAATCAATGCCAATGGCCTAACCAATACGCTTACACATTTAACCCAAAGAGCAGGTCACTCGCGTTTAGATGCGAGTTATAGCTACCGCGCCCTATAATTGTTAAATCATCTAGACGGGGACCACTTAACCCTCAAGAAAACTTACTCCTCCTGCTCTGCACACGTAGGGCGCTGATTATTACAAGTTTGCAAAATATTCATTTTAATTGGGTTATTATCAGTGGTATTATTAATTTGTAAAACAGAAATTCAGTTAGATTTTTAGAACGACGAATAAAGCTGGTTTATTTTCGCCGTAGCTAGCATTCGATTTCATTTTCAAATAAACGAATGCGCCTATATAATTCCTGCTTTCAGTTAAAGGGTTACAAATACGCAATTAGGCTTTCGGTTTGACATGCGCTGTCTGATATCCAGTGCTATACAAATTATGATACAACTTTAATTTCAATGCTAATTAGTCAATGTATATGTAGGCCTAATTTATCACTAATGTGTTAGTTCTCACATGAGCTGTGACACTTAGTTCTTTGATGTGATTGTGGCAAATGTTGAACAAAAAACGTTGAATTTTATACAAGTTGTATAGGCCTGTTAGTTGGCATGTTTTAGGAGGCTACACTACTGGGTTAACTTAAGTCATCATGAAAAGGCAAAAATGTAATTAAACTTCAAACGAGCATTCCCGGTATGTTACTATGGCTTACTTATAAATGAATTCCAATACGGGCTATTCACAATAGTGCGCCACCAAGAGTTTGCAATGCGTTGGCCATTCATAATGCGCGAAATTTGTCGACCCTTTCCAAACGCGCATTGGGTCGACAATTTTGGGCATTGTGATTGGCCAACGCGTTGCAAACTCTTGGTGGCGCACTATTCTGAAACGGCTGTATTGTTTGACCATGCATAATGGGCACATTTAGCGCAACAGATGGCTAACGAATTAAAAGGAATATAGGTTTATGGATATGCCTTCGATGTTGAGCTAACATGAAAATTAATACAATGAATTCAATGACTTTTGGGAAATCGCACGCTGATTTTTTTAAAACTTTAATAGACTGTCACGTTAATAGAATTATCTTTCGTTAAACAGGGATTTTGAACGTTCATTCTATTTTGCACAAAAATTGATTTTTCTCTAATTCATTTTCAAAAATTGTCCAGGAAAACCTATAAGAAACAGAGATTATTGTGCTTTTTCACCAAATATCGGCTTTGCATGAATTTTCATCTTCATCTGGAGCTCCACAATCAGTTTTGAGGAGGACTTTTCACCAAACATAAATGCTTCTAACGTCGACGCATCGACTTCACATTACACAATTTAAGTCGTCATGTGGCAGAAAATGAAGCAGAATATTAAATTTGAGGGTCTAGAAAGAAAATGTTGGCTTTGCCCCCAACGGCGGCTTCTCCCGGATCAGGTTTGAATGACCTTGCCGGGGTTAGGTTTCGCAGTTTAGACAATTGAATATGGAGCTTTTGAAGGTAGAAAACGCTACTGAGTCTGACAGTTTCGCTGGTCTCCAAGATTTGAATTCATAAAAAATTATCAAACCATTGGGATGGAGTGGTTGTTTAAATTTGTAATTCGAAACTCAAGACTGCCATACTCTACGGTCAGTAATCTTAGCTTGTGTCATTTCTTTTCACTTCCCTTCAAACATGTACAGACAAGTCTAACCTGATGAGGAATTCGAGACGTTCGAAAATTTGTCATATAAAGAAATGAGACGTTTTTTTTTTGTAAATTATCAGTTTACTTGCCCTTTGGTAATATCGACACTGATTTAAAAATAAAGAAATAGGTGGCCACTCTGTACCCCACCACGTTACGCTATTTAATAATTTCAGCGTTCATAATAACATATTTAAATAAATATATTACCAGATTGAAGTATTACATAACATGTGATTTTCACCCGTAAATCTTGTTGCACGCAGAGGTTCTGCTTTGTTTTTATTAGAATCGTCATCGTTTTAATGCAATCCTGTGGATTCATGTAGTTGATGTGTTCACGTGGGAAGTCAAGTTTTTCAAGCAATTTAAATATTTTTGACGATTCCACTCAAAGACCAAGCAAACTGACGTCCACCACCTATCACAAGCGACCATGGTTCAAAATGGCCAGGCACAATGTTGATAAGCTAGATGATATGGTGATACACACGCTTGCCCATTATTTTAACACAAAAGGTCGACAGGAAGCGCATTTGCCTTACCTTTTACGACTGGTGACTCGCGTTTAACCTCGTCCCTACCGTGTTTGACACAGCATACCCGGCCATCCCAATGTCAAGGAACAGAGGAGTTGCTACTTAGCACTTGCAGAAACGTAGGCAAAAAAACTGGACTGGTTGGAAGTNGTTTGTGCAGTGAACAGACGCTAGGTATAGGTGATTGGGCGAAAATTGCAGATGAGTAAAGTAAGACTGTAATCAAGGAGATTATTGAAGTTGCGAATTTTTTAGAGTTGGAATAATATGACAGGACGAAACATTGAGGGAGAAATTTTTAAAACATGACGAAGATTTTATTTTGCAACCGGCGAACAAAAAGCTCGATATGCGCATGAAAACAAACATTTTACAAAGACTTTACATAATTTCTAATTTTTGACACCAATCCGGTTTTGGCTCATAAACTAGTCATAGGCCTATTGGAATTTCAATCTCCACAATGGAATCTCCTCCGATTCTCATTCACTCCAATGACAATTACGCTTTTTACATTCTACAGTCTTCTATTTTCTGTGTTTGGATTTCAAATTCCCATGACTCAAATTCCTATTAAATGGTACATTCCCCGAATGCGATTTACATTTTATGCACAGTAGCTTCAACGTCCATAGGCCTAATATGGGCCTAGTTTTATATCGTACTTACCACGGGCATGTAGTAGGAAAACACTTCTCTATAACGTCGAAATAAGCCTCTCTATTTACAGAGAAAGAAAACTCTCGCTGATATCATTGCAACGCTTTTTATTTTACTGTGCGACCCTTCAGGATTTCCCCGTTGATGTCTCGCAGTCATTTCATCATTATATGAAAAATGGACATATTGTTCTCGCGAAATGTACTTTTTCCCCAAAACAGCTAGGGCTAGGGTGAGATGTTAATTGTAGTTACCACCAATCGTGCTCAATGACGAACCATAGCTCCACAAATCCTGAAAGTGTCTTCATGCGCACGTCAAATTTAAAAGAGGTTGGTCATGGGACAGCGAATCATGGGAGCCCTGCCAGTATGGAAAGCGATATTTTTCAGAGATTCCTCTCTGAATCGTAATGCACACAGAAAAACGTAAACTAAACCTCTATCAACTCATTTTCTTGCCAAAATGATCCAAAATGCAAACTATATTTCCGATATGATAAAGCTTTATTTTCAAGGACTCTTTGTTTTCCTTTTATGTACGTAGCTATTTAGCCTAATTTTCCTCTGAAAACAACAATTTAATGAAGGAATCTAATAATAGTGAAGTCATATTTTTGAAGCCCTGAAATGGCAAGAAATCGGTTGCATTCACCTAGTATAAAATCTCCAAAATTAATTAGAGAAACTCTTCTGTGGTTGAGAGCATATAATAGCTGTATCATAGCTGTGTATAATAGCTCCATGTTGAAAGTAACGGCAGACAATTGCATGGGCATTTCTAAGTACGTATTCTATATGAATACATTACATATACCAGTAGAAAGATCGACCCCAAATGTAATCAACCGAGAAAGCTTTAAAAATGAAGAATCAGAGGATATAAATAAAGGAAAATGTCAAAGCTGAAATGAAAATTGAAAATAATGAAATATACTGTAGTCAAGAATATATGACCTTCAATGTGGAGAAAACTAATGTAATTTTTGGACTTACTGCAGGAGCAGTAAAATAAAATTCCAAATTCTTCCTGCAGTCGGAGTGACGATGTCATGATTCTGAAACCTTGCAAAACATTGAGGTTTTCCAACAAATGTGCAGAGGCATTTGAACCCAGACGGCTCCAGTTTTGGCAAGGAAGTCATTATGCCGTTTATGTATATTTCACGTTACTCAACGGCTCCATAATTGATTTTAAACGCTTCGGGTTTTTTGAGTTACATTCAATATTCAGTGCACTATTAACGGAAGTGAAGGTCAGACAGTCTTATCTTGCATCGAGGGATAAGAACGCGGCGCAAGGATTTTTTACATTGCACTATAAACGAGCACGACGTTCTGTTTAGTCTAAAGTTCCAACCATGGCACGTATGTCCAGATTTTGTTATTATTATTTTCAGTACGTGACCCAAGGCTCAGAATGACTTATACAGGGTTACAAAAATTATAAAATAAACAGATAATCTAATTCAAATAGTTTATCCGGGATGATAAAGGTGGACATGTTGTCCACCTTTTCTGTTAATTTCTTTATAAAATCTTTATTTAAACGTGGCATGATATAATTGAAAAGCCGCTTTTTAATTTCAGCCTCAAGTATTCATAAAACCGTGGCGATTGCACAGCACACGAGCAAAGCATTCGTAGCTTCCCAGGTTGATTCGGGTTCAACCTCGTCCTCAGGGCCAGTAAGCCCTCGGTATCAGCGTTCTGTAGGCTCCAGCTCTCACATACCTGTGTAAACTGTTTTGAAGCTTTCCTAAAACAACCACTGAGAGCACTTTGTTTTGGCACACTGTAGCATTTTCACAGACCTCAAGTTTTTCTTCGCACGGGCCCTTGATTTTTTTCGCAGGCCTACTGGGTATTCCGGCCTCAAGAGTACTTCCACTATACGGTGATAGCAGAAATGCAGTAGATACGCGCGCGCCATTTCCAAGCGAAGTATCAATTAAAACGTCTCTCTCGCAATGTAGATGGACATTTTCTTGCGAGACGTCTTGATATAACCCTAAATCATCTTGTAAATATAACTTGGCACAATCGCATGAATACAGTACGCGATGTAGCCCCAAACCTAAGACCAAAATGTCCCCAATGACTCAAAGCACATTACCGTGTTCTCATGTACCCTGAGCAAGGGACTCAATGATTTTCCTCGGTCAAAGTAAACATACTCACGTTGTTTGAATATCAATTTTAATAAAGAATGTTCATTGGAAGATGTTTATGGTCCATGTTCAGTTACCACGAACTCTGCCTATTCAAACTCGCTGAAAGATCTTCACAGATGACACGTCAGCCACGGCCAGATCTCCACTGGAAGTAAACACCATGCCGAAAGGGTTGTCCAATCCACGAGCCACACATCCTTTGTGTATCCCGTCTGGACCAAAACGGTGCACCTCTGAGCTTGCAACGTCGTTGTTTTGGGTAGAAACGTAGATATCACCACCGTCATCACAACAGACACCGCAGGGGTGCATTTGCCCTCCGCTATCACTTTTTATGTCAGTACAAAATACTTCATTACCGGAGAAATCTACGCACACCAATTTACTCTTTTCGTTGTTTGCAAAGATGATTTTTTCTTTGTTAATCGTTAAGAATGCATCCACCATGTTATTGGATATGGTAGTAATGGAAGATCCATCCAGCGTGTGCACAGATATGACCTTTCTCCGCCTGTCTATCACTGCTACCCTGTTCTTCTTGTCAACACAAATGCCAGTGAGTCTACTCTCCAATCGCCCATCCAGAGCCAGCAGTGGGGTAAACTGATTAATCATACGAAGGTTAGTGTCCAATACCTTCACCTGCTGAGTATCTGTCACCCAAAGCAAATCATCACCACAAGCTACCGTGACCCCGAATGGTTTTTGCAGTCCTTCTCCAACTTGAACTGACGAGGTCCTGATTTGTAGTCCTGCGCTGGTCAACAATGTTACCGATTTATTTTCCAAATCTGTAACTGCGATTCGTTCATCACTCGTACAGGCTACATCAGTTGCCAGTGCAAATCCGCCCTCGATTTGTTTTTTCAGTTTCCATTTTTCTTCAAGAAGTATGTCACCGAGATCCGTATCCGCTACGATATCATGACATCTTACTCCGATGAACGAGAGATCTTGCTCTACAACTTCAGCCCGGGGCTCTCGGTACTCCAAGTTTTGCATCACCTTGGTCTTAAGCTCTAACAGCTCGAAGTCGTCAGCCTGTTGCATTAAGCTGTTCGTGGACGCGATTACCTGTTCGGTTGTGTTAATTTTCTCTCGGTTGCTTCTAATTTTTTCCTGTAACTGTTGATTTCTGTCTTGAGCAACCTCAATGAGTTTTTCTCTTAGAAGGCGAGATTTGTGTCTAATTTTGTCAACCTCATTCTTTTCTTTCCACGAAACATCCTGGCAAGCACGAGTCACTATGATATCTAACCGATCGCGAGAGTTTTCAAGCGACTTTTCAGTGGCTTTAAATTCGGCTTTGTGTTTTTCAACATTCGTCAGACCCTTCTCAACAGCCTCACGGAACAAACTTACGGCATCAGCAATGTCAGAATAGTTGTGGTCGACTGATCTGTGATCAATCGCAGCGCACCGTGCACAGATCGCCATTTCGCAGGAGCTGCAGTAAAAACATAACTCGTACTTGCGATGTATCGCGCATTTGGGTACAGTAACATCACTTTCCGTATCCCTAAACTTGATTTCCTTTTTGTTCATCAGATCATCCACCGTAATAATCCGGTGCTTTTTTGTGCGTTTGGAGCGCTTGTGGGCTTCGAGACATTCACCACAATAGTTTTCGTCGCAGTCTTTGCAGCGGGCGATGGCTTCAAGACCTTCCTCGCATTCCCCGCACATCGGAATGGCAGCTGATGTGCCTCCTAGTAAAAGTTCTTGCTTGTTGAATTCATCCACGAGGGAGCTCAGGACAAAATTGTTCGTGAGACCCTGTGACCCATTGTCTGGAACCGTCGTTACTCGTCTGCATACTGGGCAAGTTATCTCATCTGTCTTCGCTTGCTGACTGTTGATAAGCTCGTCCAGGCATCTCAGACAAAAACTGTGCAGGCAGTTTAGTATTTTGGGACTGATGAATCGACAACAGCAGATGGGGCATTCCAGATAACCCTGGCTTATTTTTCCACGTACAGTTTTAGTTGCAGCCTCCGCCATGTTTTATGTGTGCCTGGAGAAAAATGTATTGTTCAGGTAATTGTCGCCGTTAATTAACCAAAATGTTAAAGAACATCAGTAACATCAATACAGACAAGCTATTTTACCTAATTACGAGAAATGGCGTAGCAGGAGTGACATGTAGACATTATCATCTAATGAGTAACTTTAAGTCTTGACTTTAACGCACTTTACTCATCAAACACATTTTTCTCTGTCTGCAGAAACGCAGTAGGTCTAGTAAAGAACAACTTGTTTCATTTGCGGAAGTATTATAGGACTTGGAAATACAAGTACATGTAATCTCAACATTATATCTATGTTTGCGCAGACGAATCATTCTCCACTTTTTAAAAGTCATTTCACGCAAAAAATAGACGTGTGTCCACGGTCCAAAAATCCATTTTTCTCATACTTTGTAGGATAAAAGGACTTTGGGTGGAAGTAAACAAAATAGACTTTTAAAGACCATACGTAGCCCTTTGTCATGGAAACGGCTCATTTTGAGTTTTTGGCACTTTAGACCGACTTCAAGTGCTCTGAAAAACTGGCTTTTAGCTTATATTTAAAGGTCCACCTGATCAAAATGCAAAAATATTTCAAAAATCCACTTATATCGCTTTAAAATATCATCCTTGTCTTTGGTTGAGACAAAACAATTATCGCTTTAAGTGTCACCCTTATTGAAGTATGTTTTTAGAACTTTAAACATGACATTTTTACCCTGTTTTTGCCCTTCAAAACGTCAACTTGCCATGGGTCTCACGAAAATATTTTCCTTTGGTAGTAATAGGGCCAACATTGGTCTCTTCATAGGTGGTGAGAAAATCTTGAGCAATTGTATCCTGCTGGGACGCTATTGTCTGAAATTTTTCACAAAACAGAAAATTGCATTTTCGGGGGATTTCCTCAGTTTGAGTCGATAATACAGAAAGAAAGGTACGCTGTTGTGATTCTGGTATACCCAGCAAGAAATGAGACCGAGGGGTACCCCCCAACATGACCAATCCCTATACACATTCCAGACTATTGTTACTTAACACATCCCCCAAGATGTCCGAAAGGAATTCCCCAGATTCCTGCGAGACAATGACCAACACAAAGCAGGGGGGGGGTTCTCTCCGTCTCATACCTTGCTGCATATGGTTCTGACACTGTTTTTAAGTCGACTGAGTAATAAATAAATAGTAATTCTGGAATCCCACCGAGCCCTAGCCCATGATTTGCCCCCTTTGAGTTCTTGGCTTGTTCTTACCACATGACTATTGTGAGACTCTTGTCCCATGTGTACGGTAATCTTCCCAGTCTTTTTGTCACCTGCCTGCCACCCATTGTCAAAATTCTTATCGTCCAGCAAAGAAGAAACAAACTATTTGCACACAGCTGTTGGGGAAAAGCACTCTAGTGGTCAAAAAACACCTTGGCCTTAAAGTGAGCCAAAAACCCTGCATATCTCACTGGCCAAAACACCAATTTGCCCTTCTGTCGGCAATTTCCACATTTGAGGCAAAGCATCATTGAAGTTGCAGTGGTGGAAGTATAAAAGCAATATGTAAACAAAGTAATCTATGTTTAGCATGAATGGACGATTCAACCCAACACGTTTGATGATGGTTTCTGGTGATCCTTCTCTTAGATAAACCAAATGCATAACAGAGGTTGTAAGCCTGTTTTAACGGTACATATAGGGCTTTTCGTTTTTCTCTTTTGGAGAAACATTGGATGCTGCAGGCCAACTGCCTCAAGAATAAAGACCAGCAGTTTGTGATCTCTGTCTTCATTCTCAACTGCCACCGGTCTGATGTTTGATGCAATTTGGCTAAAATAGCTTGAAATCTGGTCTACCGTCTGTTTCCGTGTGTCCCTGTATTGATGCGCCCTGCTTTGCAACAACAGCAAAGACTGTGGGAAGTCTACTGTACATGGGGCAAGTAGTAAAGTGTGCTCTTCATAGAAGTCAAACATGAACAGTACAAAAGAACAACCCAAGAACTCAAAAGGGCAAATCATGGGCTAGGGCTCGGCGGGATACTAGATTTTATTGTTATTCGTTACCCCGGTACTCAATAGACATAAAAACAGTGCAAGAATCACAACAGCGTACCGTTCTGCGTTGTGAAAAATGACCATATCTGAGGCAATAGTGTCATAGCATGATACAATGGCACATTCTTTTCTCACCACATAATGAAAAGACCAATGTTGACCATAATCACTACCAAAAGGAAAATATTGTGAGACCCCTGGCAAGTTGACGTTTTGAGGGGTAACCTGCCAATTTTACCAGTCCTAAAAACATACTTCAATGCAAGAAGGTAAAAGAGCATAAGAGTGACACTTAAACCGATATTTTCTGTCTCAAGCAGAGGCAAGAATGGTAGTTTATAGCGATATAAGTGGATTTTTTGAAGTATTGTGTATTTTGGTAAGGTGGAGAATATAAGCTAAAAACCAGTTTTTCAGAACCCTAAGTCGTCCTAAGGTATCAAAAACACAAAATGAGCAGTTTCCATGGCAACGGGCTACGTATAAATTTGAAAAGTTTATTTTGTTTTCTTGCATCCCAAGTCCTTTCATCCTACGAACTATGAGAAAAATCGATTTTTTTGACAGCGGACACGTCTGGTTTTAACGTGAAATGACTCTTAACTACAAAAAAATTTAATTTTCAACGTACGGTGATGTATTCAACAATCGAAATTTCGTTCGTCACATCATTTGTACTTTGTTTTCAGTTAAGGCTTCTGTTTCCCCTCTTTGCAAAAAAAAAAAAAGAATCACGACATCGAGCGGCCTTTTTGAACAACCGTACAAATGTGATTGCTCTCTCTGGGAGAATTTCTTTTTAGGAAATATGTAGACCCGAAGATTTGCATCCCCAAAGAGGTCTATGATCTCTGCATTCGTTCTGTTTGCAAAATTATTGTCTACATCATGTAGCACAAAATGAGAACTTCCCAGTTTAACTGGATTAATCTGTCAACCGTAGCATGGGTTTGGTTTGAACAAGATAAAGGACATCATACGGGCCCCGTAGCCCCACGACTCGGGACTGGTTCGTTATATTATTTACATGTAGGCCTGTACATAAAACCCGGCCATGGAAGATACAGTACACTACTTCATGTAAGTAACGCTGGCAAAGCTAATTATAAAACGAGTAGAGTCGCTGGTCGTCACTGAATTGTCAGTAAAGTCCAGCAAGCGATAGTTCTCACCTTGAAATCCACAATCTCAATCGGTGCAGAGCAGAATGAATTATACAAATATAACAGCCACTGATCCACCCTGGTATTACTTCAATCTTGCATTCTGACCCTGATCGGAATCAATTATGTTTCCGTACGCTCGCGATGAAGGTGACAATGCCATCTTTCAGCAAGGTTACGCCATAGTAATGGGTGGATTTCTCACATCCGGGAAAGCATGCGGTTGTTATTTTGGAACAATGCCATGTCACAAGGTTCAATGTGCACCCAACGTTGCTACACATCTACAAAGATCGAAAAGACCAGAGAAACTGTGTATAGTATACGGAAGTGTATTTAGGACATGGCTAAAATATTTTTGGCTTACTAATTCACCCGGGCAGATTACTCCCCCGCCTGGGCTGATTACTATTTTGATAGGGCGGAATACTATTTCGCCCTTTTGGATAGTACTTTTTAGTCCTGAGCGGAATAGTTATCCACCCGTAAGAAGTACTATTCCGTCCAAGCGAATTTGAGTAATCCGCGCGGGAAACATACTAATTCGCCTGGGCGGAACAGTAATCCACCCAGGCAAAATGGTGGGTCAAATAATCCAGTCAAGTCCTATGTACGCGTCTGTGGCATTTTAGGCCTCTTGTACATTTTTCCAGTAGAGATTATTTTTTGGCACCCCCATAAAGGGGTTAACTTTATTTCCTGTGATAAGATTCTCCAAAAGCTGTAAGTCCCGGAGTGTAACACAGTCATTTGGTTATAAGCAGCATGGTAAGAAGACCGACTGTGGCTTTAGTGACATGTGTGATGGGCTGATTCAGGGCATTTTGTATGACATCCAGGCATTTTGTATGACATCCGTGTGTAGAGCTTGAAAATGTGAAAATGCATAAATGTTGGAATTGGAAATCAGGTGCCTACCCTTTGAATTTAATGTCGATCCGATGCTGTCTGGTATATGAATGTATTCATCGTACTTTTGGATTACGTTATATATTTTATATCCATTTATATTATCCATATTATCCATATATTTATTTATATAGGAGTTGGAAGGCTTTCCAAAACAGTTTCTGATTGACAGGTAATAACAAGATCTAATATGTGACCAATCTCATGTGTAGGCTTATTTACGTGTTGCTGAAGACACATAAGAAGCACTAAAAACCGATTTGTGATGGGGTCATCAGGAATGTCAACATGAATATTGAAATCCCCGGTTATTACAACTGGTTCAGGAGATAAGACAGTTGATTTCAAATAGTTGGCGAACTCACTGACAAACTGGTTGATTGTAAAAGGATGATTTATAAAAACTAAAGCAGTTCCTCCCCCAACTCGTGTCTTCCGAGGATGATCCAATAGTCTAAAACTAGGAGGAATAACTTCAACCTTATAGGCAATATCCACGTCTGTTAGTCACATCTCTATTGACAAGAATGCCATCCCAACTGAATCTAGAACTCATCAACTGAAGGGAGATAAACCTTTGCAACGTTATAAATCCTCATTCTCACGTTTTAAAGAACCTCCTGTCAACGGTCACTGCACAAATTTAGTTGTATCCATACAAAAAAGTAACATGATCCAAGACGAGTTCACGGTTCATCTCCTACTGTATATTTTACTCGATGTTTTTGCTTTATTAACTTAGTCAAGGCCGCTGGCACTGATATGCTGTGCAACGATGTGACTTCTCGTTTTCTAACAGATACCCGCATGTACATAGAACGATGAATAAAAAGCACCTGACTATTCGAAGTGTTTAATTTTTGAACATGCTGTTGAACGCTCTGGAAACAAGGTCACAGACACGTGGACTATGCTGAACATGCTGCTGAGTTAGAGGCACCTCACGTAGTTCTTCTTGTAGCAGGAACGTAACAAATAAATTCTTCAATTCGAGCATTGTAGTCACATCCTCCTCAAGCATCCATTAAAAGAAACATTAACGGCAAAGTTGGCGCGTACCTGAGTGCAATAATTTTTGCCACCGTCTGGTCGTCAAATTTTGACATACTCGCTTTAATTTAGGGCGCTATTAACTTTACGTCAAATACATTTCTCTGAAAGAAAATACTGGTGACTTTCGTTTCGGGTTGTTGATGATAGCTGGGAAAAGCGACGGGTTATTGGTATTCACTATCCTCTCCAAAAGCTTCATTCTCCTTCCGCGTTGTAGCGGCAGCACTGCTCCGGTTAAAGTTGTTGATAGTTCTAAAAGGGTCATCATTTTCAGGATAGGTGGACCAATGCTTTTGCTTTCAAGAAAGAAGAAAGTAAGTAATCTCATGGCGAAGCAGGGATAGCATCGCCACGAGATGGCTCATGTCGTGCAGTATGACTTTGGCAACCGTTGGTCGGCTACACAGTATACCATCTACACGTCTGCAAAGACAGATACAAAATTATGTACCTATATATGTGTTCTATCAACGTGTTGTTTGATTCTCTCCTGCAAAAAACGAAACAAACGATCCAAGAAAACTACTCAGAGTAGAAACCACTTTCTTGTCACATCGCCCTCTTGTGATCGAAAAATTCCATAGCCGTTTTCTCTTGTCTCCCACTTCCCTTTCAGGGTGCCTGGAAAGGGGAAATGATTTTCACAAAATCTTGGGAAGGAAATGCGTCACAGCCGTCGACGCACAAGGCATTGAGGGTTATTGTCCTAATGGCGTACACATGTCACTGTCCATTGAGTGCTCGACAAAAGTTACGTCATTTGACCCCATGCAGTTCCCAGCGCCTTGTGACGGGGATGAGCGAAATGACTGCTGCGCTCTTACCTACCTCCTCGTCGAAAGCGCCCCCGGCCACTAATTTCTGGAGATCAAGAATTCTGCGTTGGCAGCACATGGCACGTACTCTACGTGCTTGGGTTAATAGAAGTCACATATAATCCCATGATGCCATACTACGTCTTCGGAGAAAGGTACGAGAACAACGATCGTAAAGCCTTTCACGTGTATGGCCAAGGGGAGTATGGAACAGACATGATCTGGTACTTGCTTTCTTTAGTTCCCACTAAGACAGAGATCCCACGGCTGGGCCAACGTCCCTGTTTATATCCTTCTTTAATTATTGAAATATCATCTAAACTCCGAGAAAAAAACTATAAGTGGTGATTAATTGTTTTTGTAATTGAACACAGTGTAGAATAGGTAAATAAGGCAATGCCCTATAGAAACGGCTATAAGCTCTAGTCTGCCTTTATCCCGAGTTAATGGACAAAATAATTGTTAGTTAGTGATAAAGATGGAAAATTCTTATTTAAAAGAGATAAAGTTACAGGTGCCTAAGTTATTGTAAAATGCTGTCTGCTCTCAGGGGAAACTAATGAAAATTAAAATGATGTAAGGAAGATGAAAATTATGTAGAGTCTATAGATCCCGGGATGAGGCTGGGGATGAGATGCTAGAACCAGACTTCTTGAGATGTGAAGTTGAGCAAGAAATGAACCACTTGAGGAGAGGGGAAAGCCGCTGGAATTGCTAATATCCCGGGCGAGATGATCAAGAGACGTGAGAGAGCGTTGTAGTGTTGCCTTGTGCAATAAAACATGGAAGCAGAAAGAATGGTCTCATAACTGGAAGGGATCCGTGTTCTTCTATAAACCTATAAAAGATGGAACAATCTTTAGAAAGTGCCAAACACCGCATCATTTTACAATTGCCACTTGCAACAGGACTCTACGTTATGTAGGATATAGCAATATCTTCAGGGCGAGATACCAACAGAGCAAGCGGGTACACGAGAGACAGAGGAACCAAAATAATATCAAACTGGTAACCTGCGATGCGAATCTGATAGAGAAAAATCTCAGAATTCTAACAACAACTTATTCTCTGCTTTGTAGATTTCTGTTAATCCTCGGAGCATTATATAAAAACTCTGGGAGAAGTGTAAACGAAATGGGTTGCCTAACCCATATCATTCAACTCATCTCCTGAACTCCCGTAATCAAGATCACGAAACCATAGTAACAAGAAGAATGGAAAGAGTGACAGGTTTGCTATTGTTAGGTGAGGGGGTTCGCTAAGTTATTTAGCTGAAATTGATAAGTAAAGTTGGCCGTTCGTTTGTAAAAAGCAAAAACCAAGCACAACAATTTAAAAAAAAGAGAAAATCTGCACTAGCCAATATACTTTTCAGCTGTTCTGTACTGCACTGCATGCTTTGCTGTAAAAAAAAAAGGATGAATTTGTACCCATGGCTGAGAATGTTACAAACTTACTGATGCCCGTCTCTTTGTGAAATCATAAGCTTCAGTTTTCCTGCTCCAGGCTCTTCCGTGATACGGGGATTTGCGCACCTTGAAAGGGTAATCAATACGCTTAATGTAGTTATTGAGACGACATCTTCTCCTATATTGTCACAATACATTTCTCACGCAGCGAGCCTTTGGGAGCTTTTGTAGTAATGCCTTGCGGTCAGTCACTGTTCGGATAGTTACCAATTTACACATTTGCCGACAAAACAACCCTAATATCAAGAACGGTTGAATCGCTACAATAGTATACAGCTGAGTGACGTCATCTGAGGACAGCCTTAGTAGCAACAGCGGCCAATGCACTCGAGACTAACTTGAAGACCAAGACGCTCAAGACTAGCTGTTTAAATCTAGCAATTCATATTCCAAGCACACTGTGCACTTCAACGTGGATGGAATCACACTTGTACTTTTCCGCTGATGTCGCATGAGTGTTACATGAGCACTTTGCATTCAGGGCTTCTCGTTTGGAGCAGTATACATCACAGAATGACACAATAAATCGAAGCTTGTAGGTCACTGACCATGTCTGATACTCCATCGGTGTTCGGTCGGTTCGCTTTGTCGTTCAGATTAATATGGCTCTAGCAGGAACCTTAATGGGTTAGCCTACCCCACCTCAGGCCCATTACATTATGCTATGGGAGTAGCTTTCTCTCTGTAATAAGTTTCTATATGTATTTCCTTGCCATTCTTTTCCTTGACTAGTCCTGGTGTCAAGTTGGTAATTGGTTTGGTTTAGTTCTCCAAGCACGCTCTCCGTGATCTACGCACTCCTAGGCTGGTAGCCAATTGTCCCTAACTTGTGTGTGAGCGATTATAAAGGCGCTTTTCCATACGTTTTGGGGGTGCGTTGCGTACATGATGCGCCTTTGTATTTCACTTTCACGAACACCAAAATCGACTCAATTAACAGAACACACGTTTAAGTTGTGTTCAGCCGTCAAAACCGCCCCAAGACCTATTTTGACGGATACGCAACGCTTGGCGCAAGTGTTGATGCGCATATGGAAAGGCGTCTTCAGCTGGTTACGTCAATTATACTATACAGATGGACTTGACTCATGTTCGCGGACAGAACACGACTAACTTACGATTTATCATCAAGTCTACCACCTTCCGGGCTTAGTCTACCTGTTCCCTCTGTATCTTTAATTATGTGCTTCTTTTAGAAATGCCTTTTCTGCCTCGGTTCGCTCAATCTTGGCGAAACCTACTGGCTTGGGCAACGTTTCCCCCAGGGGCTTTCTTCATCACGATGATGGCACCTCTCCCCTCTTGTCTCGGTGTCCCTGTCTATATCCCTCCGCCTTTGCTCTCAGTCAACAAGGACCCACGTAGTGTCTCTCCAAGGGCACTAGACGTGTAGCATCATGGTGCATGGTGGTTACTCAACTGATAATCGGCATGCAATTTGTTCATACGGATGGCCGCAGGGGAAGAATGTTATTGCAAAAGCCATGTGGACGACACTCGACAGTGCATAACACGTGCGACATTTGTCGCTGGTGCTGTAATATTAGCAATTATTGATAAAGCCTCGTTCACGTCAGTGTATTCCATGTTTAAAGCATGAAGCCCTTCAAAGCGGCGGCGAGGTTCTCCCGGGAATGAAAAAGCCTAACAGTCCATCCGATTTCTCCGTTTCCCGAGGTTCAACTAAAAACTCCTTAA